TCGACTTCTGTAGAAAAGAAGAAAATGGATTTGTTATTATATTTGCATTTAACTAATCATTGATAATGGTTGATGCATATGATCTAAACATGTTAGAGTAACTCCCAGAAATACAGGAGGTCATTCTATTTGCATCACGCTCAATGACTGCACATGTGTGAACTGAATCTTCTCCACAGCTCAGTCTCAAGCCTTTCACGCAAAGGGATCACACACGAACGTGCATGCTTTTTCAATTACCTCCGCTCAGTAACACTTCAGAGTCTGTGAGCTTTAAATAGTGACTAAAGGACAAAAACGACGACCCATGTTCACATTAACTGTCAACATTACATTTATTATATTTATGACAGAGCTCTTGTTACAAAGGAGATGACAACTGGTAAAAAAATACATATATGACTGAAGTAGCGTGGTGTGTGGCACGGCATGAACACATTCCCTTTTTCACAAGGCAGGAACGGAGCATTTTACTCAGCTTTATATAGTGCATCTTATGGATCATGGACAATAAATACTGTACAATAATAAATCTAACAACAGACATGACATGCCAGACACTTTACATTACATAAGAAAAACGCTTTAAGAATGCAGCATTTGTGTAATTCTTCCCTTTACAATAATGACACAAATTATTATTTTTTTAAAAAATGTCTGTAAATTGTAATTACAGGTATTATTCAATATATGATAGTATATACAGAGATATATCCACTTATTTCTCTTAAATAAAGTGCCTTTCTTTCAGAAGTTTCTTAAAAGTGACACACAATCTTATCAAATATTCCTGAAAGACCATGAAGACGTAAACTTTTCACCAAATGATCTGTAGTGGAGAGCCAGATACGAGTCCGTCTGTCACATTGTCCATGGATCCTCACTCTTCAGCGCTCTTTTCTGCTTGATGATTAGATCTGAAGGCTCACGTCCAACATTCTAGAGAATCCATGCGTTCTAGCTTTAGTTGTTTCAGCACGTTTGGTACTGCTGCCAATGGTAGTGTAATACAGAGTCTTTATTGTAATATAAAGCAATGAAAACCTGCTCTAGTCTACATTCTCTATCCAAGTCTTGCGCTAGAATGAAACAGGAGTGGAAGGCTGGCACTGCTTCAAAGAAAGCCCCCACACTCAGGCCAAAGTCAGTACCCAGTGGAGTAGATAGTGGGCTTTGCCCCCTTTACGCTGGCCGCACCCACGCCTCCCGGCCAGGGCACATACCGCACAGCTCCTGGATTCCAGGGTGCTGAAACGGGAGGCAAACATGCCATAACAGAGTGCAGAGGGTGCTCACGAAGAGAGATTAAAGCTCTTTCACAGCTGCACTGTATGAGATTGTGTAGGGCTGGAATGCACAGTTAACTCACAGAAGATGCACTCGTGGCTTAAAGGAATACTTCGGCCAAACATGCTAATTTGCCTAATGATAAATGTCATCTAGTAGCCTCCAACTGACTTATCCAAGCTCTGCCTACGAAAGCCTTATATCGTGGCAACTGTTGCTAGGTTGGACAAGCTTTGCAGAACACTGACAAAAGCTGCTTTCAAACTTTAGAGAAACTGGAGCGCAAAAATAACTACATTTAAGTGTTATATATTACAAATTATACTTATATCGTATGTGTGTGAAAGGTCACACTGTTAGGGTAGACAAGTTTTTTGTTGTGTAATGTTGTTAACATTAGTGGTGGCAGATCTGTCATTGTCGTTTCCAACCTGCCTATACCGACTGGTCACAAGTAGGGGTGGGCAATATAACCAAAATAATATCATAATACTTCAAGACGTTTTCTTGATACACAACATGCATCACGATGTTAAGTTTTTCTGAGTTTTGATAAGTTAAAACCACAAACAACTATGAATAAAATTATTTTTATTTGACTTAATCCAGTCAAACAGGACTAATTAGGCTGCTTTTAATGAAAGACGCAGCTGTTTAGTGTTATGTAAGCACTAATGATATGTTTAAAAATGTACTTAAGATTGCACTACGTCAGTTTTAGGGATTTGGAGACCTCTCTGGTGGAGATGTGTAATTACACGCAATGTGTGGAAGAACATTTTGTGATGTAGGTTTTGCTTCAGACCCCTTCCCTGAGTGGACGAATCTGATGATTGTGAGCATGTTGAAAGAAAATTCAAGGAGGACTGTCAAAAGTTGGTGTCTTAAGCGGGAACGAAGTGAATTACCTACGACTATCATCATATCTTAATTAGTATAAAGTTGATTTAGGATCAACATTGAGCCAGACCTTCTTTTTGAGCCTGTGTATGTGATGTAATACGTAAAGACATATGACATGGTCCGAAAAACTCCCGCGAAATCCGACCCTACGTCTCGCACGTTTATATTATTATTTCTGGTGACTCATAGGCACAACATAGTTCAATAGGCTTTTTTCTCTTACCTAAAAAAAACGATACTTTTTTCAATTTTAGTAAAAAAATCATACTTAGTGCAGCCTTAATTTATCACAGTAATGATAAAAATGTTTGTATTGCCCATCCCTAGCCACACTCTTAAAAATCATAGTTCTCCAAGGGTTTTTCTGTAAAGAAAGTGGTTCTACATAGAGCCATGAACACTCAAAGAAGCCTTTGCATGATTAAAGGGTTCTTTGCATTGTGTAAGCGTTCGTCAGACTGATGGAGAATGTGCTGTAGATAGTTCTATATAGAACCTTTTTGAAAAAAAGTTCTATACATAGCTACAAAAAGGGTTCTTTTATTATGACGATATCAAGCTTGTAACAATAGAAGAACCCTTTTTCAAAAAGGTTCTATATAGAACCTTATACAACCCATTCTCCATCAATCTGAAAAATGCTTTCATGATGCAAAGAACTCTTTAATCATGCAGAAAGGTTCTTTGAGTGTTCATGGTTCTATATAGAACAATTTTCTTTACTAAAGAACCCTAGAACCATAATTTAAAGTGTGTACAACAACAGCTTGGTAGTGCAGCAACGTTATGTACAGTTTAAACAAGCACACTACAATTTGTAATTTGATTGAATGGGATTTTGGCCAATGTTCTGTTAACTTGTCCAACCTAGCAACAGTTACTACAAAAGACGAAGATTTGTGTGTTCAGTATGGATAAATCAATTAGCATCATATCACTGTCATAATGCTAATTGATGGCTATATAATTTCATGCACTGCTGGTAACATTAGCATTTCTGGCTGCACTGTTTTTTTAACTCATCACTGAAACCATTTACTAATAATGCACTGAGTCTGTAAGGCTCAAACCGTCTGACATCTCTATAGACGATATTACTAGAGACTAAATCTGAGTAAAACACACTGTCTATCTTAGACAGTATATGTGCTGGAAGAAAAAAACAAGCTGTCCCAGTGTAGCCCTGATAGGACATTCTGCACTGTACGATTTTTGGGGTGGGGCAACACTGTGTCTGAATTCACTCATTAAGATGTCACTTCACCAAAGGTGGATGTTTTTACTGCGGTATGGAATAGGCCTCTGTCAACACGGCTTTGTACGGTAAATCCCCGGCATTCTGTTTCAACATCTCACAAAGAGACAGATCATGATAAACGCCCAGTCTGAAAGGAGAAGCTTTAGCTGTAAAAACAACATCCCATACAAGTAGGCTTTGATTGGAGCTCACTGATCAGCAAGGGTCTGCAAAGCACGCTTTGTTTATATAGATGTTCATTTGCTTCACAAGAGCCCCTCCTACCCTAAGACAAAGCCCCCATCCATCAGCTAGGCAAAGACACTGTACGGTCAAATCACTGTCTCAGACTGCGGTCAGCACAAAAAGTTGTCAAATCAATCCAACGTGTACTTAAAGAGGAATTTCACAGCTTTAACTCAAAAAATGTTGAGATGTTGCTCATTCATAGTGGTCTGATGTGAAATGATTCATTGTAAATAAACTATCTGAGTTAGATTTCTTTACAATGTCTACAAGGCAAATATAGCCATTATAGTGTCTCCTGTCCAAAATGACCAGTTTTTCAATGCAATGTTGATAATGTTGGTAAAATAGTGGTACGTTTAAAAAAAAACATATATATCTTGCTTTATAATGCCCTGGATGTACCTCTCCACCATGAATGTATTTAAAAAATATATATTTTTTGAACAAAAGTTTATGTCAAAGCTATTACGAAACAGTGCCTCAGGCATCAGGCAGCATATCTGCTAATATTTCATATAATTACTTTCCAAGATGTAACTTTTAGAGGCACTAGACACTTCAAATGATGTCTGGTTCCTATCACCACCCCGTGAACAATTCTGACTTGATGGGCTTCTCTAGAGCATCACATTTCATATCAAACCACTCTGAATGACTTTGTTTACATCTTAACTATTTCATTATTTTGAAAGAAATCTGTTAAATTCCCCTTGAAAGGAATATTTCAGCATTTTTCAACCTAATCTCTTTCTGCCACAACTGTGTTGCACCATTGCAGATAATAATTTTGATGCATTTTCCTGGACTTAGAAAAGAGAAACTCTCTGGACCCAAAACAATAGAAGCCAATGGGCAGTTGCAAAGTTCCATCAATAGAAGTTTGAAATATATCACGTGTGAACAGTGTAAGTCTTAAGACAAGACAGGTTGAGTGAATTTTCTTATGAGATGTACAAAGATATTCTTATGAAGCTTTATCCAGCTTTCAAACTCTGGAGCAACAGTAAAATAACAAGCTTCTCTCAAGTTGTTGCATTTTGATAGACGCAAGAAGAAACTTGAAACTTGATCAAAATTTAAGCGTCCAGTCGTATGTGAAAGTTTGGGCAGCTTTGGTCATGTTTTGTTGTACGTTAAGCAAGTTAAAACATCCTCTACAGAGAACACACTTCTCCACATTTTAATGCACAATTATTGTTTATTTGGTAAATTTAACATATTAGGGAGAAATTAAACATAGAATGTAACCTGTGCAAAGGTTATGGCGCATATATATATATATATATATATATATATATATATATATATATAACGTTAAACTCAACGAATAAATAAAAATTGTGCACAAAAATTTACAAAAAGTATTATATTTACGTTTGTTCCCTGTGGATGATGTGATAACTTATTTTCACTTAGAAAATCAACAAAACATGTTTAAACTTTTGAACATATGGATTTAAACTTTTGCATATGACTGTTCTATCTGTTCCATTAGACAAACAACTGAACGATGCATTAAATATTGTTTGTAAGAGTGGTTTTAATGTGTAAAATGCTGTTGATGAAAGAGTTCCACCAAAGTGCATATTTCTCACAAACACTTACTCAGCAACTGCCTATTGACTTCTATTATAAATATCTTTCACCTCAACAGGGCTTGTGTTCTTTTCTAAGTACAGGGAGACATTTAACCAGCCGTACGCTACAGACGCAGCAGATAGACATTAGGTGGAAAAACACTGGAGTGCTCCTTTAAGACTGAGTGAAGCAATGCTGCAGCCCATTGGTTTACACTGCTGAACGAAAATTCCTGACCTTCTGAAGGAAGTGTTCCTTTGTCCCTTGTCTGATAACCTAATTATGTTCCAGTGTCATCTCCTCTAAAAGCGTATCAAAGATCGGATCGCTTTGTCTAAATATCTCAGCCTATGACACCACATGCGAATTCATCTGGGGTAACAATATACAGGCTCCAAAGAGTGGAACTATTCCATGAAATATGTTGAAGCTGATGTGCACGCGGCACTGGGGCTCGTGTTTGATTTGTTTGGATTGATCTCGCCCGGGCTGGAGGGGGGCCAGGACCGAGCTCCGAGTCTAAGACAACAAACGAGCATTCTGCTTGGATTCATCGCAAGTTTAGCAGCTTGAGTGGAATTCCTTTCATGACACATCTGAGTCTTTGAGCACACAGTAGAGAAAAAAAGAGCCATACGAATCCAATAAATGCAGTGAACTTGTTCCAGAGGATGCGTGTTTGAACCCCCACTGAGCCTTTTAGCATGATTCTGAACCAGGCCGTATAGAGAAGAGTCTGCAGACAGTCGTTACATCATTTTCTTCCCTGTCAGTGTGCTGGAGCAACTTAATCCGAGGTTATTTAGTATAGCTGTATATAAACAGTGTATGGGTTCTCTGATCAGGCATCCAGGTGTGAGTTCATCTCCATAAATCCATATTCACTTATAGACAGCTTTACCTTTACAAAAAGTGGGACAGTCTGAGATCATGTAGCTTTGTTTCTTTTAGACTTTGCGCTAATTCCACTCATGTTATTTCAGTTTGGCTGTACATAACCAGCACAGGGGTCCTCTCACCTCTTTGACTTTGCATGCAATGAAGTTCCATCAAATACTGAATTTCCGTCGCTCCATTATTCCTATAGCTCCATAATCCGTTGTGGCCGGATTTGACCTCTATAAAAGTGGCCCGGTCTGTGAGTAGACACCTTTGCTGCAGCAAATACTGTATTTCCACAACTATAGTGTTTCTATTGCTCCATATGCAGCTGCTACCAGCACAGTCAAAGTAGACAGCCTTATTTCCATAATAATTTGCGCTAACAAACTGTAAAACACTCCAAGATCAATCCCACCCTTTGCTTCCATTAGAGATGCTGCAGCTTAGTGTGGCTTTCAATACTCTCTGGCCTCCTCCAGCTCATTCATATAGACGTCCTCCTGAGGGTTTTCCGTGCACTGCAGTCCGTTGTTAGGAGGTCGGACAGAATGGAAGCGGCTCCAGTCCCCCTTGCACAGAATCCAAGGCAAAACGTCCACCTTATAGTGCAGCTCCGGAGAGAACTCTGTGCTGATGAGGTTGGGCGCTCCGGCCCCTTTGCCCCGCGTGATGAGCTTCATGTGGTCATCATAGCAACAGTGCTGAGCGGCCAGCGTGGTGCTGTCGAAGGACAGCATGGAACGCACGCAGAACTTGGCCGACGGCTTGTAGATGTCCAGGCGCTCTTTGGGGCCGCTGGCGTCGCGCCACCGATAGGTCTTGCGAAGTTTCTCGTCTAAAATGTTGACAGCGCTGTACACCACCTCAGAGGGGTAGACGCAAGGGCAGCTGGGTAATTCGGTCAGGACCTGGTGGAGGTATTTCTGTAGGAAGTCATTCTTACAGTTCAGCCACTTCTCACAGCTGTCCATATCTGTGGAGAGGAAACAGAAACAGAAGAGTCAAGACAAAGTAGAGATGGCATCACATTTTTTCTTTTCTGATACCAATATTGAAGCCATATTTTTAAAAACTCAATCTTTAAAGATTGTGGAGTAACATGCTGCCTTCTAGATGACGTCTTTTTCAGGGATGTCCATGCTTATTTCAACACAATGCGAACCACATTCTGCAGGTGTTACAAAAGTATGGCTGTGTAATCAGAGAGTGCGGGAGCTAGACTGGCCTGCCTGCCATCCATACCTGTCCCATTGAAAACATGTGGCACATTACAAAGCTCAGTACAGTTGTAAAGCTGAGGATCTGCATTATGGAATAATGGAAATAAATTACACTTTCAAAACTAGATAAATTGGAGTTTTCAGTACCCAAACGATGATTAAGTGTCGTAAGGTGATGTAAAAAATGTTGCAAATATGATCCTTTTTTTTTTTACTTTTTTGGCATGAGTTGCAGGCATAAAATTTAAAATTTGACAAAAAAAGAAAATAAAAGTTCATATGGTAAAACATAAAATAAGATAAGATAAGCTAAGATAAGATAAGATAATCCTTTATTAGTCCCACAATGGGGAAACTGTCAGTGTTACAGCAGCAAAGGGTGAGCAAGGCACTCAAGAAAAAGAAAAGAAGTAACAAGAAGAGAATTAACAAGCAAGTAAATAACTTTGTTAAGTACTTAACAAGGTTTTTTCAGTTTCTTACTTGTTACTATACAGACAATATAATAAAGAATGATAAATAAATAAAAAGCTAAGATATTTACACTATAAGCATATTTTGCCCAAAATTCACATGGAGTATTGCACATGAGGTACTGGTTTATATTACACATGGGAATGGTGAGGAGTTATAATATAAACAATTATAAATAGAAAGCTAAAGAATATTTACACTATAGAGATATTTTAAAAAATATATTGAACATGGAGTGTTGATTATATTGCACACAGAAAAACGGTGATAAATTCACAGTATGTTCTGTAGGTGTGTGAGGTCTAATGGGGGGTGGAGGGGGTTCTACTGTGCTGGTTGTACAGTCTACCAGCATGTTTTTGTAGCGATTTCAAGTAATACAAATATAATATATTAATCACTGCTTTCTGTTTTTATTAGTTTCACTAGCAATTCACGTACTGTCCACACTTTTTTTGGAATTGAGGTTTGTAAAACAGCTTTGCTAATCTTTTGGGTATATTTTACAACATGTTCCCCGAAGTGTCATCCTTGTTAAGAAAAGTTTTTCCTAAATAACCATTTGACAGATTTCATTTTCAAACTATTGCTTACAAGCACGTACTGAAACTCAAAGATGGATTAAACATTGAAAGATTGGACTTCATACCCAAAATAGTACTGTCCCTACAACTGTCACAACTATTTGTGTGATGTTGTCTTCCTCAAAATAAACCTGTTTCGTCTTAAGCAAACTTAGGTGCCCTCAAAATTTAATTGGCAGTGCTAAATCCAACTCTTTCTATACTCTAACTGACATATCCTCTCTTTAATGCGGCAGTAAGGAAAATGACTTAAAGTGAAACAGACACCTCTGAACATCAGCAGATTTCATCCCCTGCTGAGGAATAAGATCTATGCCATACTGGAATATGTTCATTAGAAACATTTAGCTTCTGATGTGAATTATAACAAAAGAACGAGTTTTTTAAGTGCTTGACACAGTATCTTGTTATGTTTTCATTCTGCATTCATTATTATTATGGTTGAATAAAAAGAGCTATCAGTTTCACTGTTCTGTGCCAGATTTGAGAGACGGAAAAAAAAAAAAAATTCCAAAGCAAATAGTACAATTTCAGGGCCCCAGAAACACTCTCTGTGGAGCAATCCTGAAAATGTTAAATGTGAGCTTTTCGGCCAATTCCAACTGGACCTCTGCTTTCTTCCTCACTGTAGCCTCAGAGGGGTCGTTTATGTAAGGACAAGGACCATTTCAGCTGCAGAGGAAACACGCTTTAAACTGGACACGGACTAAATAGAAGATAATAAAATCAATAAATATTTAAAGAGAGAAGCAGTAAAGCTAAAGTGCAGTCAGCTCTGTGGGTGGGAATTAATGGAGCACAATCTCATGAGCTCACTTAAATGCAAATTATTATAAATCGGCCCTATTTGGGGAAATGCTGGTTGGATGCTCTAAAAACACAGTGCAATATGTGAACTAATACAACCAGTAAAAGTTGAATTAACTTCTCAAGTGTACTTCAAGTTTATATTACACAGAGTTACTCTGAATACTAGAGATGGCACCTGTCTGATACCTAGTACCGGTATCGAGTTGATAACAGGGATAAGTAGTAGTGCTTAGTATTTGGTTAACCTTTTGAGGGGCCAGTTTTCGAATACAGAAATCAGTGTGGCCACATACATACATATATGTATATACGTTTTTCAGTTTTTGACATAATTTGAAAATGCTTGTTGCACTTTACATTGTGTGTAAATTTCATGATGATTGGACCAAAAGAAACAGCCCAAAATGACTTGGAAAAAAGTCTGGTTCCATTGACTTACATTAAAATCAAAGTAGGTTTTTCCCTTCTCCTGTAAAGTTATCATTTCGAAGATACAAGGTTCTGTTCTGACAGCAGCAATGTATATGTAACCATTTTGCCACATTGTCCACTGAGAAAAAACACTCCTCAAGTAAAATAAGGCAAGTCTCAATCAGCATTTAAGTTACAGGTTAGTGAAAGCTCATTAGCTCATCTGAAGAGGCAGCATCCTTTAACAGTTACTCGTCCAAGATGAAAAACTACCCATTTGGCATGGCTATTATTGAACAAAAAATATTTTACAACAAAAAATTTTTATAATTTTGACCTCCATTGCTATCATCAAAAAAGTCTTTCTGGCCGCTTTTCCCCTTTTTACTGTTGTTTTCGCAGTTAACCAGATGCCCGTATATAAATTCTTATGGATACTCGAATATCAAAATTAGTCGCAATGCACATTCCTAGCTAATAACAGCAGAAAATGCATGGTCAGAGAAAAAAAGGACAAAAAAGGACAAATCCTATCCACATTTGTAAGAAACCTAGCAGGAAATTACAGTATAAATAAAGTAGGCAATAACAACAGTAGCCTTAAATGGCATAATATTAACATAAGAACAAGCAGCTAGCCAAGTACTATACTAGAATTACAATCCCTTTATTGTAAATAGTCTAATTTTGCACACATTTGCACTGTATGTGATGTCAAAATGGCATACAGTGTTGAATCCGTTTAACCAACCTGTATCAAAAGCATCGGTGTCATTCATCTCATGTGGGATGAGCTCTGTTACTGCATTCAGGTCATCTGAAGAGGAAGAAAAACAGCAGTTAGCATCATTCAATCAAGGCCTCTGCTGTATATTAGCTTAGTAACTCTTCTCATATGTTCTTTAGCTTGGCCACCCCTCCCTGTTTGCTTCTACAAGAGATGGAAACATGGGCGGCGAAGGTTTAATGTGTACAAGCACCATCTATTACACACCGTGCATGCTAAGTGAACTGCATCTGCAATCTCAAACTGCAATTTGAGGACAAATCAGCATCAATTCCCCATGACAGCTGCAGCGAACTACACAGCGGTCTGTATCTCTGCCTAAATCAGCCGAGTTACACTAAATGGACTGGAGCTTTACAGCGTGTGTTTCGGTAAGTCAGCTGGGCTGTGAGTGGACAGACCGTGTGTGTGTATGTGTGTGGGGGGGCGTCTAGACTGACCCATGTGTGTGAGGGCTGTACTGAAAGCCCTCATTGATCTGTCTTACACAGGTCTACGCATTCAAAGGGTGAGTTTATGCTGTGTACACGACACGCTAAGAGCAGCCTAACAGCTTTTTTCTTAACACAGGAGTTTGAGCTGCTTATTAGGAATCATTCCGGATCAGAATTTTATTTATTCAGCATCTGAATAATTCTCACTAATTCCTGAGCTAACACTTCTGTAACCGCTTGAAAGACTACTTGCTTGACGATATCATAAAATGTCTCAGCGCAGCAAAGTTACCTGAAATATACTGAGGTAAATTCATAGAATAGAATTTAGACTCCACAGCGCATTTCCTTCTTACATCGCAGCTGTTGTTTTCTCTCTTTTATCGCTTTCAACATGAACTTTGGTCAAAAATTAATATGCTTTTATGGTCACAAAATGCATGGTTCAGAATCTCTGAAATTCTAATAATCTGAAAGCTGAAAATGTAAAAACATGGCCTCTTAAGGCTTCAGCATACTTCTTGCGGAGACGACGTTTGCCTGGCTTCAGCGAACAATATGACGTAATTGCGCAGAAAACGAGGCTTCGTTCGCTGGGTCGCTCACAAATTCTGTGGATGAAGACGCTATGCGACAAAGCCTCTGATTGGTTGGTAAAAAAGAGGCGTGCCATGAAACAAAGATGGACAACTTTGAGGAGCTTCGGCTTTGCCAGATACACTAATATTTCACTGTGAAACATTTGTTAAACGATGAATACTTCCTAAATGTAAGATATTAAGTCTACTATTCAGTAGTAATAACTAGTACTAAGCACCAAAACATACAGGTTATCTTATATTTAGGTTCACAAGATCATAAAATGTCATAGCGACGTGGAGCATCCGCGACAGGCAACATGAAAGTATGCGAGCTTGTAAGCCCGTGAAGGCGCTTTTGGCTTCGCACAACCCTCGAGAATTTCGTTTCGCAAAAAGTACGCTGAGGCCTTTACAGTGTGATCCTAAAGGATGCTGTAGAAGTGTTTTTGTGTTTTAAGGGCAGGTGAGATGTAGCTCAGGTAAGAAGCCTCACCGGACTGGCCTGACCATGAGTGTGACAAGTCTGCGCAACCTTAATGAAGACCTGGATGCAGTTTGAGTGGGATGAGAGAATTTTGGGAATGTATTTTTACAGAAATGACTGGGGTGACTATTAAGTTCTAGTGTTTATTACCAACATTAGCCTTGTAGCTTCAGGTTTAAACTAAAGAAACAAAAACTACATCTGAGATGGAAAAATTGAGTACATTTGATTTTTCGGCAAACTAATGTCTATGATATAGTGGTGGATTAACTGGTCAATTCACTTCATTGTGGAAAACTCTTGACTTCTCTTGATGTCACCTACGGATCAGTACTGCTATTCAGGTTGAGGTTTGTTTTGGTTTGCCTCCCCATTACTGCTGGTCTGCCACTGAGCCTGAGCCTCACCTGGACACCTCTGTTGTTCACATGTGCGCGACTCCGTAGCAGTGCAGGCGTAGCCACATGAGCGGATTCTCTTCTGGTTGCCATGACCACAGGAGACGCTGCATGGAGACCAGTCACTCCATTCCTCCTCTTCATATTCTGATGGTTTGAGACAAACAAGACAGCGTTTAGACTCACTGTGTCTCACGCAGTGTATGAGTTTCTTCGCAGTCCGGTAGGAGTAGGGATGGGCGATATGACGATATGATATCAATAGCATTTTAAATTACATCACTCTAGCATTTCTGAGTTCACTTAATGCTGAAAACTGCATGTGTCATCCCAAGAGGTGTAGCCATTTAAAGGTTTGCTGTTTCAATCTTGGCTATCTTTGGGAATCTTTGGTAATTTTGGGAATTTCACACGCTCTTTATCTTGTACTAGTTCCCAGCCAAACCTATAAATTACATTTCCAGACATCTGAAAAAATCAATCCAGCTCTAATGGGGCTTTAAGAGTAAAACTGACCCAATTTAATTTGAAGTAGTGTTATATGTAAATGTGTATAGCTTATATATAGTTAAACAGTCATAATATAGTTCAAAAGTATGTGCCACACAGGAAATCTGGATTTTTCACTTCAAACCTGAAACAAACTACTGAAAGTTTTAGAAGTTTGAAAAATACAATACAAAGAAAAGTTGTGACAAGTTTAATGAAGAAAGAATTTTGAATTTTCTGCACTACTAAAATTGGGAACCCTTGCAAAACCAAGACAAAACCACATACTAAGAAATTCTGAATCTTATGTAAATATTTCAAAAAGATTCTCATAATGAAATGTTGATGATATAATTTATAATACAAAACAAAAAAAAGCATTTTGTGTACGTCTCATAAAAAGCTTTTTTTTTTTGCTTATATATATATATATATAATATCTATATATATATATATATATATATATAAGCAAAAAAAAAACTGAATACTATATACATAACTAAACAGTCATTTGTGTTTTACATTCTGTTTGTATCTAAAGTTCAGTGTTTCGTGGACTCAAAATGTGAAGGCAAGCAAGTTACTTACATTTTTAAGTTAGAAAAACTGAATATGTTTTTTTACAGTGTAGCACAACCACTTTGTAATGAAGGCAAGACCACGTAAGAAATGCCTTTAGCTCTGCTGAAGATGCATTAGCACACTTCAGAGGGAAAAACGTGTCCAGAAAGAACACCTGAACTGAACAGAACTCATTCCAAGCTTGTGTTTTTCTCTCGCTGCCTTTTCTCCCACTCTTTAAACCCTGTACCTGCTAGGGTTCGAACCACGAGCGCTGTTTGAAGTCCCACTTCACGAGGCAGAAAAAACCAGCCATAAAGAGCTCCTCTCGGCTCCGCTTCCACAGCAGAGCTAATGATGCGCAACTAAATTAATATTGCATATTTCTCTCCAAAATATAATCTCGCTAATGAACAGGATGTGGGCTCTCCTGGCAGGCCGGGCTTTTTTGTTGTAATAAATATGTCAGTGGCAGAGACAGAGGCGAGCGGCCGGCCAAGACAAACACTTCGGTGGGAAAGCAGGACCTAATAGCTTAGCTTTCTGTCCAACAGTATACTCTCTTCACGTCCATGGTAAAGAAATTAAGGCTTTAAGAGGACTCCATGGTGGGAGTGACGGAGAGAGCGAGAGAAAAGCTTATGTTGATCATGGCTACTTGCATTTTGGATATGATGCTGCTTGCTGGTTGTAGGTTAATTAGGCTGGAGATACAGCAGCCTAGCCATGCCAAAGGAAATACAATGAGGTGTCCATGACATGCCTGGCATGGTCAGTTTTTTTCTGCTTACTCTAATCCTGGAATGTTTGGATGCACTCTCTGTGGAAAAAAGCTCGTCCAAACTGGACTGAAAAACAAGCAATCTGAGAATTCTCATCAGCAAACAGGAACTGCGCTGCCTCTTTAACACAGAGGGGAAAAAGCAGCTATTTCTGGCTACTCTTCTTCTTTAATAACATATTTTCTCAGTGCTGTCATTATTTTTTGATAAGTAAAGTACACTGTCTAACAAAGTTGAACATTTTTGGATTTTTGGGGGGTTTTTTTTTGTACCATAAGCTTCATTTTATAAAGATATATAACATAAGAATAGGAACGTCCTTCACATGTTAGCTGTTACTCTGATCAAACAAATCAATAATAAACATTTCCATTGCGGTGTGAATTATATTCTGAATGTGTGCACATTGCTCAAAAACTAGCACAGTGCATCCAACAGTATGGAGCTTCTTTTACACAGTGATAGGAAACATGGCAGCATACAGAAAGCTCAAATTCATATAGGCTCATCACAGGTTAATAGATTATCGCCTGGTCTCAATTATTTCAGCTGATCACAATTATTTTCCACAGCTGTGAGCTATATGAAATGTTTACATTGCAACAAATACTGTAAATTGTGTGCATTTTCATCAGTTATGTTGATGCAATTGAATGCAAACAAAAGAAATCAGAAAACGCTTGTATTGAGATGTCATGGATCTTACGAAAAAAAAGTTGATATTGCACCTTTAGGGGGCAGTGGTGAGTAGTATTTGTTTATCTGATGTTTGTTGTAGGGCCTAGATCACAGGAAATCAACATTCTCACACTTTTTTGAGAGTTAGATGTGATATGTAAACACTGTTAAAGTTTCAAAATGTACCCTTCACTCCCCACTCAATACACTGTTTCTGTGACGTCACAAAAACCGAGACATTTACGTCTATCTATCCATTAAGTTTAGCTCCTCTCACTCATACTGAAGTCAGAAGGAATGTTTTAAGCCCAAACTGCTTTTTAAATGAGGCACAATACAGAGCAGCCAATCAGAACAGAGGATATTTACACATATCCATCCTAAGGGAACAGTAAGAAAACATGTTCACTCCTAAGGGATGAAGAGAGGTTGGAAAACAGTCACGTAAAAATGAGTCATGTTTGTACGTGACATCACACGAATGTTAGAAGTGGAATTGAGGGGTAAACAAAACACAAAATGTCATTGATGCGAAGCACCAACATGTAGTACCCCATTAATATTTTATTGTTTGTTTGGTTTGTTTTTTGCTGGTGGGCATAAAAATGAAAGTATTAAATGGTAAAAAGAGCATTTAGAGAAGTTTAATATAGAAATATATTTATCCAATAAATAAATAAAAGACATACAAACAGCATCAAGGTCAGAGAAAAATGTGGGCACCAGCTACGTTGCTGTATCTGATCCACACATACCACTGCAACACACACACTAACATGCCACTACAACAACAGCACTGAGAATGATCCACCACCCAAATAATACCGGCTCTGTGGGGGTCCTGACCATCGAAGAACAGGGTAAAAGGGGGCTAACAAAGTACGCAGAGAAACAGATGGACTACAGTCTGTAACTGTAGAACTACAAAGTGCACCTATATAGTAAGTGAGGCTGTTATAAACTATGTTATATAAACTATGAACATAGATACAGTGAAGTGGGAGGTTGTACATGCAATAAATAGCAGATCACATTCTAATACGCTGATGTGTTTTACTGTCACATCCTCTCCTTCCGTCATTTCCCAAGATACTTTTAAAAAATATGTGTACATTGCAGCTAAGTTACATCAACGCATACTTGAGTATCCTGATGCGGAGAAGCTCTGGGAGAAATCTGAGGTTTTAACAGTCAATTGAGAACCAAGCTAAGTTCTGTAAATCGCCTTGATGTAACCTATAAAGCAGGACTGGGAACTAAATTCAGCCCTGTACTTTGATCTAGACCAGCCCACTATAACCACAGTGACCTCCACCCAGCATGACCCACCCCACCACCTCCCACACTGAGAATGCAGCGTACAGATACATGCACTCCAGGATTCGCCTGGCACACGCCGTTTGTCCCGGGCGGTCTCCATTCATTTTATAGAGTGCTTTATAGAGGAATTAATGTATTGCTCTCTCTTTCCCACTCTCTCAGCAGCCCACCGGGAATTCTCCATGGAGTGCCAGTAGCTCCCCACCTTGTGGACAATCTTGTTAAAGTGAGTGAGTGAGTGAGTGAGTTACAAGCCAGGTCCAAGTAGTGCTTCACATCTAAAAAATAAAACACACCAAAAATGTAGAATATGGGCCCCTTATTAACACCTTTAGAGGGCAGCGGTGAGTAATGTTTGTTAATTTGAGCGGAAACTGTGTCTTCTGTCAGTTGAGAGCTACTAAATATCGATAGCTAATCAGCCAATTTCCTACTCCGGGCTTTTATTTTAATAGCTGCAAACAATGAATAAAAAACAACAATTACATTTGTAATAGCAATGAATTATATGGTAATTAATCATCAGCTAAAATTTCATGATCGTGACTGGCCTAATTTCACATGCTGATCCATTTTCCTTCGACAAACATGGAAATACATGTGCACCATCTACTCTGGGGGAAGATTTTAGTGCATTAAAACAGACAAAAACAAAGGCTCTAAACACGTTGTCTGTAAACGTAACATAGGGTTAACTAAATTCTGGCATAACTAGACGAAATGCCAGAAAGAGGCCATGTCCTGCCCTCTACCAGGCCACCATGCTGCTCATGGCCGGGTCGTGTTTCTGCGGCTGGCCATAATTACAGGAAAGCGTTACATTGCTTAGTGTCTAGAGATTATGTGGTGGCCACATCATTAATAATGTGGCTCATTTTCCCTCCTCTGTTTCACATTCAGGCTTGTTTGTACACAGCAGAGTCCTTTACGCTAAGTACACTCATTAGGTCCAGTTTTAGAGGGCTGGCCCCTCAGAGGTGACAGGGGAGGCAGGATTAACCCTATAGCTATGATTTCTGAAACTTCGGTTACAACCACAGTGAGTACATTGCACAGTAAACGGGTCTCTTCTGGGTGGGTTTGCAGTTGACCACACCAGTGCATTAGTCTCCCTCTAATGACGTTTGGAGAACATGGTGTTTAGGCCAGGGAAACAGAGCTGTAAGACTTTGTGGTACGCTGCACCAATCACATCAGGGCGGTACGGCTCAAACGAGAGGAGTTAACCTTTGATGAAATTGCCGATGGAACTGATACGACTATAAACGCTGCTTTTGACGCAACACAGTGTAAGCTAAGCTTTCTGGTAAGGAACACTATAATTTCGACGGTTTACCAAGGGCTTCACTGAGCCCGAGTTTCAGCTCTACGCAAAAAACAGTACAATATCATATTCTTTAACATTCTTTTAAAATGATCTAAATACACTATCCTTCAAAGTTTGAGGTTTGAAGTTAAGAATTTTTTTTTTCAAATAAAAATGACCATGTTTCTTTTCTTGGTTTCTAATAACTTTTTGCAACATACTAAAGACTAAATATTTTTGCCAATATATTTGTAACCTTGGGAATAATGTCAAACCACACTCACTCAAACCTTTCAGGTGTTTAAACTGCTTTTTGACCAAAAGAGTTTCCTTATGCGCTTTTTGATTTTCAACCTCAATTTAATCATTTAAATCATTTAATCATTCCAGCTTCACCTGCTAGCAAGCTCCCCATCCATGCTATCCAGCAGGGAGGGTGAAGACTTTTGAAGCACCATCAAATCTTTTCAAACAGCCGCTAAAACAGATGCTATGTCATTGGACAGCTCAACACGCTTGGAGGAGAACACTACAGTTGGCAGTACACTTTAAATGAAAATGACGTTTCAAGGCAAAAGAATGTCTTATGGCTGGAGTTTGTTCAGGGCAGTGTTTGCTGCTTGCTGAACAGAAACCTTAATTACCACATCATTTGTTCTGAGACCTCCCTGACTGGGATTAGTCCACTGCATGAATCAAGCTTCTAGCAGTGCTGAGACGTGGTAGATGGGAGTTTGATTTCATTTAATTCTTTAATAAACTCTGTACTGCCAGCTTAACTGTCAATTCTGTTACGTCAGCTAAAAGACAACCATGTTGGCTAGCATTGTGTGGAGAGGTGGGGGCGTCTTCACCCAGACAGAGCGGGGCCAGTTACGCACTCTTGGACTGCTGGCAACAGATGTCAGTGGCATCTTCAAGGATCAGAATTGCGGATTGAACTCTTAGACAGTTGAGCCTCTATGCGCTCTTAATAACAGTTTGAAAAGAAAACTGTCAGTTCAGTATTTAGGAAAAACCTGCTTTTCACATCAAGGAAGTTAAAGAATACCCAAAGTATTAGCAAATGGCTGCTTTATGTTAGCAATTTTGTTTACAAGTAATTTTCTTTCTTAGCTGAGATAAATTCATATTTCTAAACATGGACACGAGAACTTTGGATGACCAGCGTATAGAAACTTTTTTTCTATGCGTTTCTTTTCAGAACAGTTTGCAAAAGAAGCTCAAATGAAGCTCAAAAGAAGCTCGAGAGCAAATCAGTAAACAACTACTTGAGAAAAAAGAATCAAAGGGTTTTTTTGTTTTGTTTCTTGTTTGGTTTGTTTCAAGAATTTTCTTTCTTTTCACGATATACGTTGAAGGTAGTGGACTTTACACATACAAGCAACACAAGAAATATCAATGCTATATAATGATTAATACCACCTTTATTAGAGAAATAAACGTGTTCTTCTATACATCAGCTATTGTTCTTATTATGCTAAACTCACCATTATTATCCAAAACTGTTTTAGCATTTTGGAATCAAACTCGTCAATTAGAGACAGAAGTGAAAATAGAGACCACAAAGCCTAATTTCGTGCCGAGCCCTGAAAAGTGCCACAAATTCCTCAGCGAGCTCAAAGTGTCCAGGCCGTGAGAAGGACAGGGCAGCGGCAGGCTAGGAAGATGAAAAGGAGCGCGGAGGCCTTCTCTGGCCAATCTGCCGTCTGATTGAACACAAATATTAGTTGTTAAGCCAGTGGAGAGGCCCCGCACTGCTATTAGCAAGCGACAGAGCTTCTAAATGCGGCGCTTTCCCAGCAATAATGTCAACTTCAAAGAAGATACAAAGGCCTGATGCTTGAGTGCCCACTGTTCGTAATGGAGGCCAGACTGAGCCTCACGTAGTCTCCCCCCACTGTCACAGACACACTGATAAAATGCTTTTAAATGGTTTGGAGATGGAAATCTCGTACAAGTTTGGAGATTTAAATCTTGTACAAGCCTGAAGATGTAAATCTTGTCGAATCTTTAAACACTGAATTCTAAAATTGAGCTTTAAAACATTTATATCTCCTCACTGTCTTGGTAAAAAACACTTGTATGCACAATAGGCAAGAAAGAGACTTTGAGGCATGTCACCACTAACAGCTTAAATAATGGAAGTAATATATCAGGACACACCACATTTAGGCTCTATTTTCTATTTACTACTGATAGGCATCAGAAGAAAGTCTGAGAGACTGGCGGCAGCAATGGCATGTTTATATAACGGTTCTTGAGTGCAACCTCGATTCATAAATCATGTCAGGACTATAGAGGAGACCGGGGCCAACGTTGCTGTTTCAATCTAGGGGAGGAAATTGGTTTAACAAAAACAGCTCAATGCATACAAACTCCAGCTTTAGAAGCACAAACATAAACGGCTGTTGTTTCTGATAGCGAGGCAGAGCGAAAACAAAGTCCCAAAAGTCAAGCTTCCTGTTGCTTTTCTGATGGGAAGAGCCAGCATGTCACATTTTTGCTGCATCCTCGCACTGAGTCAGAAAGAGCTCTTGCCTTCCTGCCAGAGGGACATATGAGCGTCTGCTCTGAGTGTAAATAAAGAAATCTTTGACCGGTTAGGTCAGAGAACTGACCAAATCATCGTAAACAAAAAACAAAGCTTGTGAGATCATGTGCTGTCGTTACTGTCGTTCGAGCTCAGTGCAGATCACGGACTGACGATCACATCATGTAGGGTGCACTTATTATTCAATACCTTTAAGGTACCAACCAAATGACTTCAATACTGCCAAGTATAGAAACAATTCTTTGTCATTGAGCCCTGAATTTCAATACCTAATTAGTCAGTCTTCGTATCCGTAAGCCAATAGGCATGCTCGTTCCAAAATCTGGACTGCTGAGTCTCTACATTTCATGACAGCATGTTATTAAGCCTGGATTAGTCTGCAGCCAGTAAATACGTCCATTTCCAGCACTCATATGCTTTTCGTTTGTAACTAAAAAACATGGTATCAAAAAAAGCATCGTTCAGGTATCAGTACTGAAAATAAGGTATCTGGATTGGTACAGATATCAAAAATATATTAACAATTTTCAGCTCTACTTATTAGGATGATTATCAGGCTGGGAGGCACTTTCAATGAAGGCCAGGATCACAAGGAAAGATTTGTATCTACTCTGAAAAATACAGCACTTTACATTTACTTGATTCAAAGACTGTAAAACCTGATGAGTTAAGTCAACTCAAATGATTTGAGGAACCTTAAAAGTTTAATAACTTTTACACTTAAATTAAAAGAGAAAATTGTACTAACTAAACGATTGGACTTAAGTTTAAGCTGTTCTACCACAATATAATTGAGTAATTGTTAATTAAATTTTATCATTTTGACAAGTTCATATTGTATTGCAGAACTAGACATTTGTAGCAATGTCTTGTCCACCTTAACGTCACTGTAAATAACCTCACCAAACGCTGATAGGACAGTCCAGAGTGCAGATGTAGTCTCTGTGGTGTTGAACCACAGCAGAACCACATTCAACAGAGAGAAACTTAGCAACTCAGCTCTCTCAACACTGATTTTTGATCAGTACTGACCGGCATGAATCACAAAAGTTTATAAATCTTGTCAACACAAGGGTTGGCTGGGGAGAATGACAACACACAGAGGGTGAAGAGACACACCTAATACGTAAATATGTAGTACTAAGAGCCAACAGGAATGATGAGAGTTTTACTCAAGAAGGCTGCAATGACCAAATTAATAAATGACACCATTTATCAAGCAAAGCTGAGAGTCTAAACTAAATTGCAATAATTTGAAGGGATCTTTGAGTCTGAAATCATCAAAGTTATGAAAAAAGTATGAAAGTCCAAATCATTTAAATGTAAACATTTGTGCTGTCTATCACATTAAGCCACACTAAATTTTCAACAGCCCATTATTGGCCTGTTTGTATTTCCATGTAAAGTCAAATTAAATATAAATAGTGAACATAAAACATTTAAATAAATTTACCTCAACTCAAAATATGCTAAAAAAAAACAACCTTACCCAAATGACCGCATTGCTCTCTCAACAATTCATTTTTGAGTTAATTTGATTTTTTTAGATTACGTTACTCCAAATTTAGTATTTAAGTTGTGTTAACTTGAGTTTTACAGTGAATGGTTCAACATTCATAAATTACATCAACACTGTTTTGTCTTTAATTAACAATAGTTGTGTAAATGTAAAATATTTTATTTATATGGATCGATATGCAGAGTTGAATCAAGTAAATTCAAGGCACTATTTTTTCAGTGCATGCTCATTTTCAGCACAGCAGGTGACCAAACGCCAGAGAGACGCCTGCTTAAACCGGAGAAGATAAACATGCTTGTATTTCCAGGTGTGGAGTGGGTCATTTTACCACTGAGGTGGTAAACGGGGTACGAATGTTGATAATTCAAGTGTAAAACGTTGTCTGTTATATTGAACAACATCAGGAAAGATGAAATGCCACTGACAAAATTACTAAAATTTCCGCTTTTCTAAAATATGTCATTGACAAAAAAACAAGATTTATTACCAAAATAAAGTTACATTTATATGTTAAAGTAATTTGAATATAGGAAGGCAAATATTTTATTGCATTTCTAGAGTTTGAACTAAAAAAATAAACACCAATTGTTTCACATAAAAATAATGCTTCGCAATCTTTGAAGTCACCGCAATCCGAAAACTCACTAAATTTAAAATTCAAAAAGAAAAATTATAATCTTTTTTCGGCTAATTTATGAACAGAATGAAAAATACATGAACTTTCCAGGCTTTATTCTCCTTTTGAGCTCATTTTCATGGTTTCAGAGCTATAAAGACAAAATAAAGTACAAAATAAAACACATATTCTAAGACAAACACAACTGCATTTAAAGCGTCCAAGTTGATTCCATCCATCTCCATTCCCAAGCCAAAAAGTTATCACCGTAAAATCGAAGCTGTCTTACCGTAATTCTCTAATGAGTCCCAGCCTTTCCAGCGCCTGCCCCAGTCCACTCCAACTCCACTGAGAAGAGGATCTTCTCCGTCATAGTTGAGGTCCTCCCCGTTCTCCTCTAGACTGGCCTGGCCTGGGCTTTCCTCACTGGAGTCATGGTACTCCCAGAAGAGCGGCCAGAAGAGCTTTTTGTGGTCCAACCATTGCTCAGAGCTCAAAGACCAGTCATTCCTGCCCTCTTTAGCCAGGTCCATCTCAACCTCCATCTGGGGGTCATCTACGACTTCAATGGTGACCTGAAAGAGGGTAAAAGAGTGAATACTGACTTTTTGAGGTCACCGTAGGTCCAGTACATTAAGAATGAGCTCTGAGATGTATTCTCTAGTGATGCTGACTGTCAAACTGGCCTGAAATCATTCTATTAGGAATGTCCACAGCCTAAACTGAGGCTAGAGTGGGGATGTATATGGACTTTTGAAGGCACAGTCGACGCTGAGGATACTGTGGGTTACGAAAGAGAGCCGAGTAGTATTTTTTGACGAAGCCGATCTGCGTACAGCTCATAAAATAAAACATAAAAAGGCCCCCACTGTCCCCTCCAGAGGATGTTTTCAGGGTGACAGGTTTATGTTCAGCATGCCCTGGCTTGTACTATCTACTGGGTGATAAAGAACTTCCAGCTATCCCCTCAGCAGGCCTAGACAAAGGACTGGCTGTTTATATTCCTCGCAACGTAACAATCTGATGGCTGTAGCAGCTGTTTATAAAGACGCTGTGCTGTTTAGCAGGGTGATTAAGCTACTGTAGCCACGCCGATTACGTCAGTCGGCCTTGTCCTCCTCTGCCCCGGACTCCAGACTGTGAGAGCAAAGCTTAGAGCCGAAGATCTGATGTTCTTCCAGAACCTACACTACAGTTTGTCTGACGAACATTACAGGTCGCAAGAGCTTTTAAATCTTGTGAGATCACACAGTTCCTGCTGAAGAAATCAATCAGGGCAGGCAATCAGCAAAATAAACTTTGTTTTTAAAAAATGAACATGGGAGAAAATGACCAAACATCTGAAGCACCTTTTAGCCAAGTTCACTTTGGATCCTCAGGGATGTCTGAAGGAGCTGAACTGCATCACGTTTGGCTTTGCTTCAACTTAAATGGAGAGTCTTCTACCCTCACAACTCGGAGAATAAGTAAAGAATACTCCTTTGGCCGGCAAGTTGAAGAGCGATATCTATCATATTTTCGACTCCCCGGCTCTTGAATACTCTCTTAACATTATGATAAGGACGCAATATGATAAAAAAAGGCCTAAATCCTCCCACATGTACTGACTTAAATGAAAGACACATAAAAAAAGCGAAAACAGCTTTGTCTGGTATGTATGAGGATGGACCGTTCCCACTTGGACGACTGCAACTTTTTCCCTGTTATAAAAGTAAATTTGGATACCAGGGTTCTCTTGTGTATTTTTTTCCCAGAAGCCTAACTTCATTGCCTTTAAAGTCTTCATGAACACATAAACTTCATAAGAGTACTAAAAATAAAATTTTTTTAAAAAGGACCCGTCTTTAGCTCACTTTAAAGATCGGGATCAGCTGTAAACATTAAAAAGAGGCTGTTAAAACAATTTCACCTTTTGAGATATTCCTGTTTTTGTTCCCTCTTTCATAAACTCTGGGGTTTGAGCAGCACGGCTGAACTGTGCTCCTTCAGTGTAAAGGTTTCGCCTGGGGTAATTCAAGAGGCCTCTTTGCTTAAGAACAGCTGTGACACAGCCAATAAGTGCGCAGAAATCCCACTCCCTTCTGCAATCACAGCGACACACTTTGCAATAACAGTATGAAACAATGAGTGCATAGGTTAATTACATCCACCGTAAAGCGCTGCCAAGTAAAATTAATCCATTTCTTCAGCTTACTACCAGTTGATTTAGTGCTCAGAGAGGTGGGAAATCTACAGCACTGGGCACTGTCACACAGCTATACATATTTGTTATAACATATATGTGCCTCTCAATGTCAACAATGGTGTTTAGACAGGAACGAAAGCCAAGATATACAGACCAACTACAAAGTAAGGCCCCAAAGCCCAAGCCGCAAAATGATTGATCTAGCGCAATTACTCATGCGATTCAAAGTTTCAGCCACCCAGTAAACAGTCTACAAGCTTATTTAAACAGTGTTTGTGTACAGTTAAAGAACCAGAACACCTAGTTTAAGTTGTTACAGTAAAAGCAATACTAAAGCCAAACAATACTAACACTCCACACACAGAGACGTCTAGGCCTGGTCTTTTTCTAACAGTCTCTGACAGACTTTTAACGTTTGTCATTGGTTTATCACGCGGATTTTTCCTTCTCCGTCTGATCTGAGTGTCTGTTTAATCTCATAATCTCATTTCTTTAATTCTTAAAAGCATGTTTAGCATTATACTTCTATACAGTGTGCATAGGTTCCCCTTTTGAGCCTTGGTTTCTCTTAGTAGCTCTTCCTCACACTCTTAGGGAGTTTTTCCTTCCACTGGCTCATTACACACTTAAAGAAGATGGTTTTAAGGGTTTTTTAGTAAAAGAAGTGGTTCTAATTACAACCATGAGGGCTAAATAGAACGCTTTCATGCTGAAACGGTTCTTTGCATGATGAAATGGGTCTTCAGATTGATGGAGAATGTGTTGTATATGGTTTTATATAGAACCTTTTTGAAAAGGGTTCTATATAGCAGCAGAAAGTCTATGTTACAAACTTGACATTGTCTCAATAGCAGAACTCTTTTTGATGGTATATAGAACCCTTTTCAAAAAGGTTCTATATTAAACCATATACAACACATTCTCAATCAATCTGAAGAACCATTTCATCGTGCAAAAAACATTTCAGCATTCTATATAGCCCTTATGGTTCTAAACAGAACCATTACTTTTACTAAAGAACCCTTGAAGCGCCATCTTTTTAAGTGTGTAGTTAATTGTGTGCCCAATACTGAGTTTAAGAAGCCAAAATTAAGCTGACAGCCAAAAATCTCTGTCAATATAATTTTATGTAGTCAAAATTAAAGACAGTCCACTAATTTTAGTTCAGTTGAGTTTTATATGGTAATATTGATAAACCCATGGGACCTCAATATCAGTCAGGCCACGCATTTTCTAGAAAACCGCTTTGAGAATTTGCTTGTTATAAAATTTTTTTTTGACATGAACTGAATTGTGTTCTGAATATTTCCATACCTGAATGTTTGGATTTTGGGAGCCCAGGTCAGCATTGGCGAGGTCAGGAAAGTTCTTCAGGTCTAAAATGAATGGCTCCTCTTCCTCAGGCGCAGGTTTGGGCAGGACTCCCTCTGAGCGGAGCTGTGACCATCTCCGCCTGTGGCGACGTGAAGGTGAGCGACTCTTTAGCTGGTTCTGCTGCTGGAGCTCCGCCAGCGTCCGCTTGACATCGACAGAACCAGCCTGGCCTCCAGTCTAAAGAAACAGGGAAAAATATAACATCATGTTACGCAATAAGCATCACAATATTTAGTTTTTATGAAGTTTTCCAACAACCTGACACGGACAAAATGTATAAACATTAGATCCAAGTTTAAAAAGAAGTGAAGAACAACTACGACTTCTTTTTTTATTCAACATTTAATTAGCTAATTAATAGCATGCAGCTTATGCAGTTGCTGGTCTATAATTGGTCTAAATCTGTCTATTTATTGTACACATGAATAGGGAACCATCAGAACCTCCTAGTTCTTCAAGAGAATGTCTGTAATTTTAGTTGACTTTTTTTAATCATCGTGCTAGAATCATGATGCATCATGCCATATTTGAACTCAATACTGGAGGTACTGTAATAATATGTTTATTTCTTTAAGTTTTAGTTGGAAACAAAAGGGTATAGATCGTGGAACGCCCAACAAAAAATGATCCAATCAGTATTTTTTTCATAGTTTCTACTAGGGGTGGGAATCTTTAGGCACCTTACGATTCGATTCGATTACGATTTAGGGGGCTGCGATGCGATTATAAAACGATTATCGATGCATCTCGATGCATCTTTTTTCTCTATACAGGATCTCTATCTTCCTACTGTCTAAAAACTTGGTAGTTTTAAAGCAAAGCATTTGTAATGATCCAATGATTCATTACAAATACTTTGCTTTAAATATCTAAAATATCTTTTATTAATAAATCAAATGGAGGTGATGTGGCAAGTGAACTAGAAGGCTCTCATTCAGAGACGCTGCTGCCACTCATCTGCGATCAAATGCGCTGTTGCCCTGAAATAAGATCCAGTGGTGATGGGTGTCCACGCAGCGCGTTACAGCCATCCTTCCCGACTGGACGCTGAATCTCGGCTTCAAAGTGTGCAGCATAGCGCGAAAGCCCTGGTTCTCAATGACTGAGAACAGCAGACAGCAGGTCACATAGCCCCGAGGTCCGGCCTCGCCAGTAGCGAACGAAGAAACAGAGATTAAGACGAACATTTGGAGGACTTATTCGCATTTATAAGCAGCGCGGTTGGTTAAATCTGCTGAGAGACTGTCTTTCTCTAAAAAGTTGCGAAAATGAACTCGCTTCTCTTTCGAATTTCCCCGTTCCACTTTAAATGGTGCAGCAGTTACATTCGGCGCCTAAGGCAGAATTTAAGGTGGAACGGGAAAATTAGAACGAGAAGCTGGCGAATGAGAAGCGACTTCAGCCTCGTAAAACAGTCGAACGCTGAGACATTTTACAATAAGAGGAAAGCGGCTAAAGCTGAAGCTTAAAGCAGAGCGAAGTAAATCTGCGTTCTCGTTTATATTGTTTAGTCTATACTAGGACATTATCCCATACTGGACATTAAATGTTGTGGCTCCCAAGGTGGTTTGACTTTGTTGAAAGGACAAAATGGCTCTTCCTATCATTTGTGTTGTGACTCCTGACCTAACCTGGCTTTAATGCAGAGGGTGCCGGGCGGATTTCTCGCTCATCCAGTTGTGTTTTTGTTATGTGCCGCCACAGACTGTCCGGGCGCTGCACTTACCCAGTTCCGCCTTTTGCGTTCTGTCAACATTACGTTATAAATTAAATATTTAGAAAATCGATTTTTGACATTTATGAATCGATTCAGAATCGTTCACGTCCGCATCGCGATGCACCTAAGAATCGAGTTTTTCCCGCGCCCCTAGTTTCTACCTACATACAACTATGCAAGCTCTCTTGTGGGTTGCAACTATCAACCTATTTAGGAAAGGTCAGAGGAATTAAATAATCCCATTTTGATTTACAATGAGACCAATTTGTCTGAGAAAAACATCACTGTAGGTCTTCTGGAATTCCAAGATACATCACTGTGGTTACGAGTTGTAGTCTAACCAGGTTTCATCAGTTGTTAGAAATGGAAAACAGCGGTGGCAGCTCTAAGCCAGCACTCTTTTCTGAAAAACTGCAACACAGAGGGTAAAATATATCACTGCTGTCAGAAGAAAACCTTGTATTGTTTTTCAGTTTTTGACATAGTTTGAAAATCCTGTGGCTCTTTACATTGTGTGTAAATTTCATGATGAACGGATCAAAAGAAACAGCCCAAAATGACTTGGAAAAAAGTCTGGTTCCATTGACTTACATTAAAAGTAAAGTAGGTTCTTTCCTTTTCCTGTAAAGTTACCATTTTGGAGATACGAGGTTTTCTTCAGTCCATTACAATCTTCAAATAAAAGATATGAGATATTTTTCAAAAGCTTCAAATGTGTTTAACATAACGAAAAGTGTATTGTGATTTAATGTATCATGATGCGATCCTTCTCAGGTGACTGAGTCTTTGCCACAGCTTCCTTTGCCTTCATTAGGAGTCTGAAGCTGAATCTGTTGAAAGCTGCTTTGTCCCAATGTGTACTGTAAATAGCACTACACGATTGAGTTTAATTGGTTCTGATGACCCAGCCGTCTTATATTTTATCAAAAGAATCTGATTCAACTACACGTTCTGACGGCCAAATTACTCACCTATAAAGTCTTCTGAAGAACAAAATATGGGGAAAATATTTCCTAAAGCAATTATACCACGCATGTGAAGGAGGTTAGAAGATCAGTCATACTCCAACACCATATCAAATGTATACAGCTGTGACCCTGCACTCTTACGAAAAAAAGGCCTCGGTTTCAAATAAACCCATCTGGAGTGAAATGTCTACCACATGACAGCATATCAGGTGGATTTTGCAGAGGGATTAGGGGAATTATGTCAATAATCTTTTCACTGTATGGCGCTCGCTCCATGGACTCTGAACCAGTCTTAGACCTACAATATATGAAAAAAAGTGACGTGCTTTTATTGATGAAGCTTACAAGTTTAAATTCATAGTGGCTTACAGCTCAGTTTACATTCAAGCTGTTGAAATGCAAGAACGCTTCAGTATCCTCAAACAATCTATTGCACAACCCATTTGACATTGCAGAACTATCTGATAAAAGGTGGAGGCTGTTGTTCTTAGGCCTCCATCCTACATAAGTTATTTATCAAACACAAAACCTCGGCGCTCCACGGGGTTCCCGTTAGCAACCAAACAAAACAAAGCGGGCAGAGAAACATCACAGGCATGAACAACATGACGGCGTTCGGCTGGGCCGCTCTGCTCTGTCTCTTTCGCCCACAGCCAGACGCGCCTCCGTCTCCTGACAGCTGGTTGACATTAAGTGCGATGCTGGGTCGAACTGATGGAGAAGCGCTGTGAATTCCTGGAGAAAGGCCCAGGATGGTGCATGCAGGTAAATTATTACACATTAAGGGATATGTATCTCTTTCATCTGGTTTACTTTAATATGGAGACTTGAAGTCTGGGCTAGAAGAGCGGCCTCCTGTTGTCTCATATCCACAACAGCGCTCTCTATGAGCTTTGGAATTATCTGCTGTGCATCACCGGCAGTGACCGTTCAGGCAGCTCCTGTCTCATCACTGAGCTCCATGAAGTTCTGGTGGTGCTGATGGTCCAGAGATTCGTCACACTGTTTTGAAAGGCAGCTCCGGATAATCTCATAATGCTCCAGTGTGCTTTACAAACGTACTAATAATTTTAACGCACCGCTGTGCGGGAGTTTCACTCATGAAGCACATTTTACGCCTATTCTCACTTCCAACTGACGAGCACAGGCTCCCTTGAAAAGTGACCCAGTTTTCACACAGGCCAATCAATTTTGTCACTGATACAGATTTTACAGAGCTAAAAATTTTAAAACAAATAATACTGGCCAATATAATATCGTATGGTCAAAAATGAAACAGTTCTGGGCCTTTTTTAAAGCCAGCGCAAGTATTTTAAGTATATACACTGGGGTCCAAATTCTGAGACCACTGGTGAAAATGCATTCCTTTGTAATTTAATACAAGGTTTTTTAATACAAATGATACTACATTACATTTTAAGTGAAGAGTAGAATCGTTGTATGTTTACATGAATTTCAGAATTTCTTAGTATTTGGTAGGTCCCCCTTCTGCTTAAGCTGGCATGGGTGTGCAAAAGCTTCTGATCAGTAGATCAAATCCACCTAAAAGTCATCTGAATGTGTTTCAATGGAAGGAATAAGACAAAAATAAGAAAAATCACTTGACCTTTTTGTCCAAAGGCCTCAACATGGTCAGTTTCACAAATTTGCTTCAATTAACAGTGACCAGTAAATAGTACAGAATTTCAAATATTTCTTAATTTTAATTGTCATATCTTTTCTTTGTTCAACCTTTTTTTTAAGATTCTGAAACTTTAAACAGGTTTAAATGAAACAAATATTAGATTTTCAATGTGTTCTCAGACTTTTGGACTCTGTGTGTAAGTGTATGTAACAACACAACAACATATGACTTACTGGGCTGGACAACACACTCATTTGTTACTTTGGTGGTCAGAAATGATAACTCCAGCAAGAATGTGGGTGGAGTGGCCCAACACAGAGTGTGACATTCAAAAGCCACCGGTGCAGCACGACTTTCAAGCCTATTTTGTTCTAAAAACGTGCTTGAGCCGCCGCCTCCTTTTTTACTTTTATCATAAACACAAGCGAAAAAAGGGATTTTCCTGTGTCCAATTTCTCACAGTGTGATTGCGTGGATGAATACCGTTTATATCACCTCACTTAAATATGAATAGGTAACTTCTCCCAATTGCTAACCAAATACAACTAATTTAAAGATTTTTCATAACACAACTCAGCTGTGACTAATAAATGTGAATTTACTCATATTTGAGGTATTTATTTATAATTTAAAAAATAAAGAATACAGTGTATTAGTACTTTGTAGACAGAATACCGATTAACCCACACAGCCTTAATAATGGTTGATTTATTGGCCGAATGATATATCAGTCAGGCCTAACTAAGAGTGTCTTTAGCCTGACTATCATTATGAACCACATGCATGCTTTAACAGCACCAGATGAGACCCAGTCAGGCCAGGCCTCTACATCCTGATTTCCTCAAAACTTCAAAGGACTCACAGAGGC